TAAAAATTTCAATTTTTTTTTGTACATTATATATTAAATTATTAATTAATTTAATTTTAAATAATAATATATCTTATTAAGTAATTTTATAATAAACATTTTTTAAAACATAATTACTAAACATTAAAATATTTTTTGTCATAGTACAACACAATACTTTTAATAATTACAATTACAAAATAATACCAAATAACGTTGTGAAACTAAATCAAATACATTGCGAATTTTGGTAAAGAATGATTAGTTTAAGAAATCAAATTAAACAAGAAAACTTCATCATTACTTTTGAGAAATTTTCTTTGTACTAATTTAAAGACAAACGCATGTAAATTAACTATTTCGTTGAACAATCTTTTTTGTTTTTCACTTCTTACAATGATCATAAGTTTAATCCTAATGTGGGTCTTTCATTTAGTTTGGCCGTTAACTTTGGACCAGCTGGCATTGATTATTCACTCAATAATGCAAACAGTACCTTAATTTGTAACCACACAAATTAATTTGTCTAATAAATACAATAAGAAGAAACGATAACTAAATCAAACCCGATAACGATAATGATGTTTCTCCAAATAAAAATAAGGTTCTTTGTTATGCCAACCACGACCTATTCCACCTAAAGCGACCAAATTGATAACAAGATATGTTCTCCACATTATTAATTAAACTTTTAATATTGTATATTAGATTTAATTAGAATTTTAATATTCCAATAAATCTCATCTATATTAATCACCTGTTAATCTGAGTAAAATGAGTTCAATTTCTCTTAAATAAAGTTTTAAGTTCACGTTTTGTAAATAAAAAAACAGATAGTTGAAGAACTTTTTTCTTAATAGGGTTCGATCAGGCTTAATTTTAAATTAATCAAAATTTAAATGTGATTACTGAATAGCAAAAAATTAATGCAAAAAAATAAACCCCATCTATTATTACTATTATTATTAATTTTCGCAAGAGTTTATATGGGGCAGAGGTTAGGTTCCCTACCTCTACAAAGACGCTGATCACTTAAACTAATTTGTACATTGTTTAATGTATTTGGTTTAAGAGAAAAAAAAAAGATTTTTAATTTTTATTAACAAAAAAATTATAGAGAAGAGGAGAGTCTTAATTTTAACTTTTATTTTTAATTTTTTCACTTATTTAAATAAGTTATATCTTTTTAATTTTCTCTCTTTTTCTTTTCAATTTTTTAAAACTAAATATGTTATAATAAAAATTTAAATATGAATAATTTATTTTATGAGTTTAGTACATATCAGTCTCAACTTTCAAAAAAGATTAAAATCTTAACTTATATTTAAAAATTGAAATTTCAATTTAAAATTAAAAAATTCAATCACTTTTGAAATCTAAATATTAATATTTAATAAGTTAAATTTTTAAATTTTAAATTAAGTTTTAATTAAATAAAATAAAATAATTTAAAATTATGACTCTATCTCTTTTTTTTTAGTTAAGATTTATATGCATTTTTTTTAATTTTATAATCAAAATTATTTTAGGCTGAGAAACATTTTTTAATATATATTTACTGTATAAGTATAGGAATTTCCTATGGGGGCATACGTTTCCTTTTTGCCAAGGTGCTTAGGAGTACAGGGATTTCATATATGCTCTATTTTTCTATTAATGAGTTAGAATTTATTATTTTATTTATATAAATTATGTACATAAAATTTTATTAAATATTTAACTGACCTAATATTTACTAATTTAAAATTTAAAATTTATATTAATGTCAAACAAACAAAAGGAATGTGAATTCAATTATATTTCAACTTTAGTTTGTACCAAAAAAGCTAGATCAATTCAAATCAATCACATATTCTCTACCCAAAAGAGATGTGAATTCCCCCATACCCAAAAAGAGCCGATCGATTTCAGTCTCAACGAAACTCAAATCAAACTGAATCTATTCTAATTCTATGTAGTTCAAACTTTACCGGATTCCATTGCAGTAGTCCTAATCTCGCTATAAAGCAAAACAATTTTTTTTTTTTTTTAAAGGGAAAAGAAAACAAGGTGACAGAGGGAACAATATGTCATATACAATGCAATAAGTAGAGTTTTAAGAATCAGTCAATAAATGTCTCAAATAGTTAGAAGTTTAATTTTGCAAATTAAAGATTTTCAGTTTGAATTTTAAGATTTGTGAGACGAAATTAAGAGAGAATGATTATTTTTTATTAAATAATTTTAATATTAAAAAAATTAAAATATTTTGACATTAAAAATATTAAAATGTTTAATAATAATTACATAATAAATTTAATAAAATTAGACATCACATTTTATTTTATATATTTAATGATAGTAATTGAATGTCCTAACATTTTAATACCTCTGATTTTTTTTAAGTATAAATATAATAATAAAAAAAAAAGGAAGAAGAAAGTTTTAAAAACCCAATCTGTCCCAACTCCCAACTCCTAAACTTGCAATTAGGTACACAATATTGTCACATATGACAGGTGCAGAAGCCACGGTGTATTTATTGAATTTTGGATCAACTACAATTTAATTTTTAATTATATGTATATGTATATATATAAGCGACCAAACTTACCCAAGCCAGTACTGTTGAAACAACCCAATTGCCAATTGGCATCATCATATCACAAACTCTTTGGTCAGGTAACCAAATTAGTCCCTCTTTTTGACAATGTATTAATTAATCACATACTGCACTCATTCGGATAAAAGGCTCATTTGAGCTTGGTTTTAGCAAAGGCCATGCTTCAAAGTTCTTATGCAGCTTTTGCAATGAGGAATCTTACCAAGAAAATTAGTAGAAATTAAATTTTTTATGTGAGAAATTTAAAAAATTTAGTAACAACTAAACAACTCAATAGAATGATTCATGTCCCAAACTTATTACTTGGAAGAGTCTTAGACAATTGAATGGAAAGAGCCTTTTTAATAACTGTCTAAACTGTAAAATATTTTTTTAATGTTTAAAATAGTCAAGTTTTTAATAATTGTCTCTTTTATAAAA